TCTAAGATAGATTAAGTGGTTTTCTGTTCCATTTGACTTTCTACCTTTTCTAAGTGAATCAAGTAGGGAAATGATGGGTGCCACTACTCCTGTATTTTCTAGTCTTTGATGGTGGCATAATTTCTGCTAATTCCCCCAGGACTCAGTATGGCTTCTGGGTTTCTTTCTTTGTATAAGTGTAGTTCCAGGGACTCCCACTTATCCCTTTCTACCATAACAGCCCCCCATCCATGGGTCAGACAGGGGCATGGGGTTCTGCCAGACGTCAAGTATATCTATTGCAGTGACAGATTCAGGGATCAAAATGTGAAACAAACAGATCTCTATTCCAAAGAACAGTTAAAAGTTACTGTGCTGTAAAAAAGACAAGCAGGGAGCATCTGGGCTGTGCAAATGCATAGGACGGCTATAGGCAGTGGAACACAGGACGTGTCAAAGAAAGAAACTGAAAGGCTTGATTTTTCTCAGCCTTAGATCAAGGAGGACCCTGAGCAGGAGGGCAAAATACTCTTATCTTTATTTAGTAAGCAGTGGGCAACAGTGAAGCATTTTGAGCAGGGGAATAAGATGACCCAAGTTTTTATCAGATTCATCTTTCAAAAGCACCAGCAGGTAACCGCTCTAGCCAAGACTGGTCATAAGGCAAACTGTCGCCACACAGATGCAGTGTCTGCACCAGGACAGCAGAGAGGAGCTGAAGGCGGGGTGAGAGTGAAAGACACTGCTGAGTGGGGAAAGACGTGAGACGAGGCTGGCAGCCACCGAGTGTGACGCACAAGAGAGAATCCATGATGACCCTTTCTGGGCCCAGGTACCTGGCAGGATGCTGGTGTTATTCAACAGGGACACAACACAACTATAGCGAAATGGTCATTTTGTTGTTACTATGACTTGGTAATAATTTAGGGCAATTTCTTTGCCTTCTCACTAACAGTTTTACTTTATTCAGAAACGCAGAAAAAGAATAAGATACGGCATTTTTCCAGGAAAGTTTTAACCTAAAAATAGGAAACAAAGACAGGAAAGACAAGAGATTACATTACATAAAAACAATCTAAATGGTCTCCAATCTAATAATGGTTTCCACAGAATGCAAATGTAACACACTTGGAAATGTCTGAGCTTTAAAGAAACAAACTCCTCCTACTTGTTACCCTCTTTTACAGATATTCGTGGAAGAACCTATGATCTTACATACATATTTTTTGTAGACAGAGTCTCACTCACCCTGAGGTTGAAGGCTGTGGCGTCATAGCTCATAGCAACCTCAAATTCTTGGGCTCAAGTGATTCTCTTGCCTCAGCCTCCCAAGTAGCTGGGACTATAGGAGCCCACCACAACACTGGCTATTTTTAGAGACGGGGTCTTGCTCTTGCTCAGGCTGGTTTTAAACTCCTAAGCCTAAGAAATCTGCCCGCCTTGGCCTCCCAGAGTGCTGGGCTTACAGGTGTGAGCCACTGCACCCACCCAAACCTATGCTTTTAAGGCAACACAGTGTGGTGGCTGGACAGGTGGACTCTGGAGCCAGAATCCCACTGCCACCACTCACTGCGCGTGTGCCTGGGCACATGACCTGCCCTCTCTGTGCTGGGTTTCCTCGCATGTAAAAAGAGAGTGATAATAGTACCTATACCTCAGCAGGCTGGTTCATGGACATTAAACGAGGTGATGTATTTGTGTTTTATTATCTATACATGTAAGAATCCTACATATTATATCGATAAGAGAAACTAACAGCATTCTTCATTCTATTTACACATTGACATTAGAGAGCTTACAAATAAGGAAATGAAAGATGCATAAATTTTATTTGAAAATGGTTTTAAATATCAAGTAAGGAACAACACTCTTT